ATATATATTTAATAATTTATTTTAGATTTTAGAATAACTAATTAAGATACTCTTTAATTGAATATTATTATAAATGAATTCGTTTGGGGAAGAAATAGAAATATATTAAAATAGCTTTTGATATTAAAAATTATTAGATTAAAGATTTTACCTTACGCTGATAGATTAAGATATTGTAATACAAAAATAAGTATGACTAAGTTTAATGGAAAAAGATTGATTTGACTTTTATAGTATGAATTAATATTATTTTAATCGAAGTTCATAAGAGATGGAATCAATATTATGGTAAATCATTCAAAACTATTTGTTTTTTTGCAAAGCAATTGTAACCAAAAGGTGAAAAACTTAAAAAGGCAAGTTTATAAATGTATATTCATTCTGAAGTGGCAAATGAAAATATTAGCCATTATCAAATGGTTTATTTATAGTGATGATCCAATAATTAATCAGGGTTCATTAGGTTGAGATAGATACCTTTTAAAAAAATTTTTCCTTTTTATTATCAAATGATTCTAATTTCCAAAATTGAATAATAAAAGGATGAAAAACTATTATATAAAGAAATATGTATTTCTTATAGTTCTTAATAAAAGCATTAAACGGAAGAAGATTTAAAGTAAAATTAAGATATTATTTTGATATTAAATAAATTAACTATAGATTTATTATTTAATCCTGATAAAGAAATAATTAAGTTTCTATAATTTCTCTAAGTTTAAGTTCAAATTGTAATAATATTATGAGGATGTCCAGTAACCAAAAAGAAAATTAAAGAATTATGAGAAGTTGGTTGATCAAATGGATTCTAAAGAGGCTTTAAGAGAATTTCAAAATAGCTTGGGGAGCATCAATAAATAGTTAATATTGTAATTCATTAATAGTTTTATGTTGAATATAACAAAAAAAAGTAGAAGATTATCTAACTTAATATTATTCTGAATAAAAATAATATATTGATTTTTTGAGTCAGGAAGAATAATTGAAGTTAATCGAATATTATGTTAATTATCAAATCCAACTTCAAATCATAAGCCTAAATAATATAAGAAAATGTTTTAGTATATCTGATATATATTATTTCTCTTAAAAATATATTTTATAATTAAAATTTTTCATTTATACTAGAGATTGTCTATTTGTTTATAAGAAAATATAAATATTGTATATGGATATATATTAATTTATAAATAATCTCATATTGTTATTTCCAAAATTATTATAAGAGGAACTGGAAGAATTCACTATTTAGAGTGAACTTGAGCTATTGTTTGGTACTTAAGTTAGTTCATGAGAATCTATAATTTAGAAAGAATATAAGATTATATATTATTTAATTTTTCTTTAACATAAAGATCAACAGTTTTATTTAGAACTTTTAATATTGCCCTAACATCAGCTCTTTAGAATTTGGTTGAAGCACCCAAATCAAAGGTGAATCTTCTGATAGGAGTATATTAAATTGTAAAATCAAAATTGATTAGAGTTCTTTCTGAAAATCGTGTTATTTTTGACTTATGATTTCAATTAGAAATTGACTTTTATCCTAGTTTAACAATTCAAACCCTAATTTAGCATATTAATAATCTTACTTGTATTGCTTAAGAATTTTGTTTATCCTTCATAAACTGATTAACATCTAATGATGAATGTTATAGAATTACACATTTTCAAATCAATTTTATTTGAATTGAAATATTATATTTAAAATATGTTAATTTAAAACGATAATATAATAAATATTATTACTAGATAAAAATTCAAAGGAGGAAGAAAATCTTTGACTTCGTCTCAGAATAACAGAACTCACCTGTTGTTGTTTACGATGTTGTCAATTAAGTGGGCCTTATTTTTAGTAATATTTGGCAATTTTTTTTTTTATATTCTATTAGGCTAGTTTCTTGAAAGAAAGGTGGAAAGATACAAAAAATCAAAACATGTTTAAGACAAAATTTATTCGTACATGAATTTAATGTTGAACTCTAAGCTTGTGTAATTCTGGGGGTAATAGTGCAAAAAATATGAGGATATATGATGAATATGTAATATCAGATTTAACTTCCTAGCCTCTTATTAGTAGAATAATCAGACAAATAGAGAACAACAAACAACCAAAGGAGGAAAAAATGATATGTTAATAATTCTAAAGAAATAATATAACTTTTTAATTAACAATTTTAATAACCAGATTTAAATATATATAGACAATTGAAAGTTTAATTTTCGACAATTTAAATATTGTATTTATAATTTTTTAATAAAATAAAGCATAAATGATAAAATATATACTTTTACAACCTTTTTGAGTTTTATTTACATCCTAAACTTATTTATTTCATTTTGCATTGTTATAATGTTGTTATAATGTATTCAGATCAAAGAATTATTCCTTCTAACAAGTTCTTATGCAAAACACTCGTTGTAATTTAGGAAGAGCAATATTTGAAATTGTCTATTGATGAATCCTTTTCAAATAATGAGGCTTAATTCCTTCAACACTATATGTCTTTTATGAGGCCTGATAATAGAACGATAAATATTAGGAATATTTGAAACCTATTAATCATTTGAGATTACAAATCCATCCCAGATAATTATCAGATAATCACTTGATAGTAAAATTTTTCATTAAAAAGAATTTATTCTAATGCAAGCAGAAATTTAGCTAAAAAAAGTAGATTTCTCATTTAAACAAGAATTTTATATTTAAAAATGTAGCCAAATGAATTTATGAAAGATTATGTAAGTGATGGATTTTATGAAATTGATAATGATTATATTACTTTGAAGATGATGTTGTTGAGGGAAAGAGTATTAGAGCAGACTTGTTAGCATTTGTTCATTATACTTTATAATATATAAAAAATAAATATTAATTTACTAAAATATTAGCAATAGGTTGTTCAGATGGAGGAGTTCAATTAGGAATGTATTTGGGTCATTTTGAAAAGAAGGTTTCAATTGCAGGAGTAACTTTTAGTTCTCCTCATATAATGAATATTACTAAAATATATATTTATATCTACATTTATGAATTAGATGCTTTGCAAAGTCTTATAAAAAGGACTTAAAGAAATTAAAGAATAATTTAATGATAGGAATAACTATCCGAGTAATTGGATAATAAATATCCAAAAAGCTATGAATGCCACTTGGATTCAAGACTTTGATACATATTACACTTATGGATATAGAACACCTTATACACTGTCTAAATTATTTGAATCCACTACTTTTCATCCATTTTATTGGATTCTGAAAATGAAGGAATTGTAACTACTCATCAACTTAAAAATCAACAAACACTTATAGATTTAAGATCTTGACAATCCAATTAAAATTGATTAATCCTAAAAAATTCTTAGAAATGTTGTTCAAAATCAACAATTAGCCTAGCCATTCAACTTTAAATGAAAATGTTACAATATTCAACTGACAAAGGCTTTCTTGGGAAATCTTTAAAAACACATGATTAATTCAACCTAGAATATACTGATAATTACTATTCACATAGTGACTCTACTAGTTTAAGAATAATACGTAAAATCAAGTACATACAAACTGTACTTCGATTGTCCTATAATTAAACACGTGGATCGAAGTTAAAAAAGAATCAATAGAATCCTATCAATTATTGGTGGTCTAATTAAAGTTCTTATGTTCCTTTGGCAAATTATTGAGTAAACCAAATACAAGATTAAAATTTTAAATATCTTTCCTCAACCAATTTTTTAATTTTGGATCTACTAAACATTCGAAATCCTTTTATCCACCACTCAATTCTTAAGCCTATAGTCAGAAACTATTAAGTATGCAAACACTAGAATACTTTTGATCATTTTGGTAGTTTATTTATTTAATTCTTAGTTGGCGAAATTTATTAATTAAGTTTCATTGAATGTAGATGGTCAAAAATACTCAAAAAGATAAAAATAAAATGAAAATCCAGAACCTAAACTCATTGCTAAATATTTTCAACCGTAAGATATTAGGTTGAAATTACAGAATATTTAGCATGTCAAATATTTTTTTGAATTCACAGGACAAGTTAAAAAAAAGAATTAAATAATTAAGGTAGAATCTTAAAATTGTTAATTATAAAAACTGACATTATTTATGTCTTCTCAATAATCTTTAAGAATTGGACAATTTAAAGTAAGTATTTGTGTACTCAAAAATTATATTCCATTTTTCGGATCTCGTAAAATTTTTAGCCTTTAATGAATTTATTAAATAAGCTATAGAGTTTTAAGTTGATGCTATCAAAAGATATTTACTTATTGCTTATAATATTAGCCAGCATTACAACTTTTAAACAAAAATAAAATGTCATTCATATTAAGTTTCTTGATTAATATTATTGATGTAATATAAATAATATTAACATCTTTAACTAATCTGATTGGTTCGTTTTGAATTAAAAGTGTTAATTGTTAATATGAAAATGAAAATGAAGCGAAAAAATAAATTATTTTTAATCATGAAGATAATTAAAAACATTTTAAAAAATTTGCTATGCTATAACACATTACAGCTAAAAAATTAAATAATTATATTGTTAACTAATAAATAAAAAATAAAGTTAAGCAAAAAAAAAAATAAATTTTGAAAAGACAAAATTAATGTTTTATTCTACAATGCTCTTAGATGAGGATCAATTGAATTTATTTGAATATATTTCTGAGGCAAATATTGATTTGCATCAGCCAAAATAAGAACCTAAACAAAATACAATTGTGAAATCATCTCAAGAATTTAGCTTGTTTTAAATAATAAATATGATAGAGAGAAAAAGTCTAGGATTGATAATGCTCTTATAAAGATAATAGATGTTAATATAAAAAAGTATTTTTTGAAGCAAGTTCAGGATGCATATCATTTTCTTGAAATACAAATCTTAAGTTTTCATATATAGTCCAAATTCAAGTCCTAGAAGAGAGAACTCAGAGATATCGAAAAATTTAAAACATTAAGAGGTCAATGAATAATGATCAAGATTAATGTTCAGTAATTTCATCCACCTCTTTAATTCTTTAAACATTCTATTAACTTATGATTCTCTCTTTTTGTTACGCTGTTGTTCTTACAATTAATTCTGTTTTTAAGATGCCAATATAACTTCTAAGCTATGATCCTAATTATGATAATATTCCATTATTTTAATTGTGTTATTCTACTTTCATTTCTATGCTGCTTTATATATTAAAGACATCTCCAAATGGATCTTTATGGATTGTTTTCTCTAAAAAAATATGTAGAGCAATAAATACTTGATGATCCACAAAATTAGAGACCACAACTTCTATCTAAAATTTCTCTAGATCATAATTTACTCATAAAGGCATTACTACTTCTAACTGAATTCATTAATTAGATTAAGCCACATTTATCAGTGTGTCTTTAGATGATATGAAAATTTACAAAATCTCTACCTCGATCATTAATACTAATATTTTCAATTACACTAGAACTATTTTATAATTTTTTGATCACATCTTCCAATTGTTCCTTTATTTTAAGACTCTTTACTAATGATCTACATCTTTCACAATTATCTCTTTGTACATTATTTTTATTTATCAATGCAATAACATCACAAGTAGTACCAATTTCAAAAATGGATGTTGAATAGCTTCATCAACAGTTATTCAATTTTCTTATTTCGGATTTAACATAGATAATATGAGATTTGAAAATGATATATCTAAAATACTTAAAGATTCTTTGAATGTCCATTTAGATCAACAAAATCTGATAATTGATTAGAATGCAGAGGAAGCCTTTAAAAAGTACATTAATAACAAATGATTCCAATAGCCCAAAAATTAACTTCTTTTGAATAGATATGAATCTTCGAGAGACTCCAAAATCTACAAGTTTCACATGAGGTGGAGTAATATTTTCTTATAAATAGACAAATATATTATTTGGTTTAAGATCTCTATGACAAATGCCTTTAAAATGAGAATGTTAGATTTCCAATAATAATTATTTGATTATTACTTTGATCTCTTTTGATTTTAAAGGACGCTTTTTAATAATACTATCCAAACTAGAAAAATCACAATACTCTCTAAATAGGAGGTTTTACTTTTCTCATTAATATATAATTCAATATTCTAAGCAATATTCTAATGTCTTAGACATAAAGTATTATAGAAGGCTCTCCTAACCTTATTTTATATTTCCTAATCTCCAGATCGTACTATTTCAACTGTGTAAATTTCATTTGTGCCTTTCTTCCTTGCTGTGTTAACTACTGCATGAGCTCCTTATCCTATTGACATTTATATATTTAGATTCTTTTTTACCTATAGTCTCTAGACATTCATAATGATCTTAAATCTTTTAGTTTCATTTTTTAATCATTACTAAATTAAATTTAGGTTTTTAGTCTATTCGCCATTAAAATTATTAATTGAATGCTTCCATAAGTATGTGACACTGCTGATACTTTCACTTCTTCCATTACTACAATGTTTCATATTACACTCCCTGAAGAAAAATAATTATTAGCATCTCCATATAAGATTGTGAAAAATATTTTATAACTTTTTTCACTTATCGAAAATCTGATATTTAAGATAGTCCTCATTAACGTGAAGAATTTCATCATCTTAAAACCTCTCGTGATTTTGCCTCATCTCATAACTCATTACATTGAAATTGCATAGAATCTTGAATAAGTTTTTTTGATTCACCTCAGGTACTAATAATGGACATACTGATAAAAGTCCAAAATTTTATAATCCTAAAACTAAACTTAAACCATTACAGAAAGTACTTTCTATTATTGAAGAAAATGAAGAAATTATTAATACTCTTTAAAGATTAACTGACTCATCACTTAAATTGATTTTAAAATTGGGCTTCATTAAGTAAATCAATAAGTTATTGAAAAAAGTAAAGAAAAATATCTTCCCAAAACTTTAAGAACAACTCGAATTTCAAGATTTCCCTGATTTCAATCCTCCTGATTGGCCATTAGATAATGATTTAGATAATCTTTCAATTCAATAAACTAAACTTTAATCATCCAAATAAATTTTTGTCAAAGAATTTAAAGTCTCACCTATGAGAAATGTATAGTTCGATTCTAATGAATTTAATTATTTTATTGAAGAATAATTTTAACCTGATTCATCTGAAGATAAAGATCATTTCCAACAATTACAAATTAAACCTAAAGACAATTTAAATATATTCCTTTAAAGATAAAGTTAAATTCTAAGCACACAGTCCTCTAAATTCTAATTTCCAGAACTCAATCAACATCAAATCAGACTTATAACTAATGCTACTATTTGTTTATTGAGATTGGCACTGTTAGTACATATTTTAAAGTATTTTACATTAAATTAACAAAACTTTATTTCAATATTAATTGTAATATTTAAACATCTTGATAATTAATTCTAACAAAAGATTATTAGTCAATCATTACATAAAGTTTTTAAACATTTCATAATAAGAAGATTATTTTATATTTTATTAATTGCAGACTCAATGTTAAAAACATCTTTTGTTGCTCAACCATCTAGAAGGAAAGAAGATTATAAAATTCTAATTCTAAGTGAAAAATACAAGAATAAATAAATAATGGATATTATAGCAAACAAGATTGCAAAAATATTAAAAAGAAATGAAAATTAAGTTAAAAATAGATTCAATTGTCTTTTAAAGAGAGAGAACGTTTAAAGCGATTTAAACAAATTGATTGATAAGATTTTATGGAAAATCAGCAAGCAGCCAGTAGAGAGAAACCCATAAGATTAAGAAAGAGCTAAATGCATTTATAATTAAAATTAGAATTTACTTTTAACAATAGGCTCAGATAGAAAATTTATAAAAAGAAGATGTTCATGAACTTACACTTTGTGTGCTTGTGGGGTTGAATTTAAAAACAATTCAAATTTATTTTACACCAAATCATATTTTATAAGGTTTATTAAGAATAGAAAAAATCAGAATTTCAAGATGATGATTTTGAACTAACCAAAAAAGATATTGAAAAATTTGAATCGATACCTAACCAATTTTATCATTCTTTATCTATTAAAAGTGAGGAGTATTCTATTAAAAAAAAAAGGAGAATAAATTTAGCACAATAAAATATTTCAAGTATTTAATAGAGATCACTGCCATTATTTATTATTTGTTGATAACTATCGAATATTGGATTTTTTATTTAATTTATTATTCCTTTATTTTTTTTCTTCTCTCTCTATTCTTTCTTAAGATTCATAATAATCATGTATTAAGCTTAATATTCTTAAATAAGCTGATGTGACAAAAATGTACCTCCCTAAAGATATAAATTTCTTTTAGCATATTCCAATGAAGTTTTGTCTATATGTAAATTAAGATGTTTAAGTTGCTTTTTAACTAAATCAAAATTATAAATCCATAAAACACAAATTGCCAAACTGATAATACCATACCAAAATTTCAATGCACTATAAAATGGTTATTGTCTTTAAATTTTTGACAAAGCCTTCTATTATTCTAAATTATTACTTTTTAGAGTGGATTTAACAATTTAACAGGAATCCAAAGGCTGTCAATATCCCTTATTAATGTCACTGTAATAAAGTATATATATTAATGATTTCAATATCTTTAAAAATCAATTTATTTTAGACTAATTGAATGCTTTTACAACTATTTTGTAAAATTTATGACTCTTTTTAGTAAGTTTATATTAATAAAGAATATTCCAATTTTTTTTTATTTGTTAATTTTTGATAAAGCAAACCTAAAAATATCATGGTTTTTTTGAGATTCATTTTAAAATAAAATAAAGTATTCCATTTTCACAAGAATGTATAAATTTTTATATAGGCATTATAATGAATTTTTATTTGAGAATCTAAGCACCTCGAGACATTAACTTAATAATCGAAGTTTCCAAATTTAGTTATGTCTCATGACTATCTTAATCTCTGCAATAAAATACAGAATTCTCTTAAACTGTAAATAATAAAATTAATATTAAATAATTTATGAATTTAACTTTCTTTTTAATTACCTGTTATTACAAATAAAGACAAGAATTCTAATAATACCTATATTTTGGTTATATTCACAAATACTAAGATAGAATAATAAACTTACTCATCATATAAAATAATACACCAAAGCATAATAAAAAATAATGTGTATACGTAATTATTTTCTCATATTTTGGATTATTAATTAATAAGCAAAAATTGTATTGCCTGTTCTAATTGCAGCTAATTAATTGAAGAATCTAAAATTCTTCTTCATGAAACTTATTGCATACGTTTCAATACAAAGTGTGAAAGATGTGGGTAATTTTATCATAAAAATCATCCTTGATGCCCACGAAGAGGATTATCATAAAAAAGAAAAATGCTAGTTTTGTTTCTTAGACTTAGATGGTTATCATATTGTTTTGATTTCTTAGATCTATCTAAACATAAATGCTCCAAGACACCTAAAAAATGTTTATATTGCGATATACTATAGATTTAATTATTTAACATGAGAATCAATGTGGTAGCAGGACTGAAAAATGAGATATTTGCTAAAATTATATTATGAAAAGAGATTTAAGTAATCACTATTAAAGTGGCTTTTAAAAAAGATAAAAAAAAATTGAGAAACCAATTCAAAAAAGACAGTCTATTTAAGATATATCATAAAACTTAAAAAAAGACACATCTATAACAAATAATAACATAAATCGAATGTCGATAAGATAAAAAAGTAATTTGCTTAAGTAGACTCCTTAATAACTAAATTACTATCAAAAGAAATTAATTTTGGATAAATTTAAGGATAAAAGATCACAGAACATCAAATACCTTAAGAAATTAAGCAAAAATAAAAAATTGAATTAGATAAATTTAAGAATAGCATCCATCATCTAATTTCTTTTATAGGTAAAAGCATAATATTATATATAAAAAATCATCTACTCTTAACATAGAGCAACATAATAGATCAATAATAATAAATACAATCAAAGATTAGTAAAATTGAATGTGATGAATGCTAATATAGAAAAAAATATCAATAAATAAGTAGAAAGATTCAAATTTATTTGCCAAGATGAAAATTATCTAAATATTCTTATGTGAATTTTTATAAAAACAACGGATAAATCATTTGTTTGATATAATGATGGTCCTTAAAAGGAATTTCCTCTAAGTTTCATGAATTAGAGATAAGGATTTATTTTTTCTAATTAAAACTGTTGAAATTGAATAAGTATTATCACTAATGATTTATAACTTCACCTTCAAATTTAAGATGTCTGAAATACGATGTAAGACTTTGATAATTTTAAAATCAAAATTAAATTTACTTGATTTTATTATTATTATAATATTTAGTTATTATTTTTCAATCACTAGTCCAACCAACTACAAACCTTACGCTCTAAACATCTATTTTAATATTACATAACAAGGATTGGCAAGACAGTCTCTAAAGTAAAATTTGGTCTGAGTAGAACATCAACATTTGTCTATTTTTGAACTCATATTCTAATGATGAAAATGTATATTCAAGATCAAAATATTTTTCTTCGAATCTTGCACAAATTTAGAAATATCATTATAAAATGAAAAAGCTAAATCAGAAATGTAATTGAATTTAGGAAAAACCCCTAGATTTTCTTTATAACTGTTCGTTAGTTACAAGCTTCCCCAAGCTTCCATAAAACTCAAACTCTTTAGAAATTTATACACATACGATAGTCATCACAATCCATATTTAATGGTTATTAATTTAATTTGACTATTTGAAGACATCAAACTTAAAGGATGATGAAAGTATCATTTAATGCTCTTTTTGCCACATTTGCTAAAATAGTGGTGGCCATTAATAGAATTTCCTTTTTTCGGCCTGGATGATATCATATCAATGCCAAATCAAATCAAGGTAGTTAATTTCCTATGTCCCAACACCAAAATTTTAAATTGAATGATGAATTAAATATTAATTATGCTTTTGAAAATTAGTTGTTTAATGATCTAAATTAGTTTATATGTATCATTTAAAAAGGTGAAATATTCTAAAAAGTATGAATAATTTAGAAATTAATCATTCCAAAACAATATTTTTAGTTATAACCTTCTTGAGAGTTTTTTTTATATGAATGATATATTATTTATCAGACACATTTTTTGAAACTTCTAAATTTTTGTATTATCAAAAAAAAAATCGATTTTTTCATAATCTATGTTTGTGAATTTACAAAAAATCTATGTAAAATCCAATGCATCTTTAAGAAGAAGTTTTTATCTTATGTGTTAATTTAGGTACATTTAAATAAGGATTTTTAAGTTTATATTCCATACAAGCATACTGTTAATTAATTAAATATAATTTCTATTAAGAAACATTTCTAGTATTAGGAAAAATAATTATTGTTCTACTAATAGTTGAACTAAATAAAAAGTAAAAGATAGCTATAAAATAGGTCTTGCTATATGAAAACTAGAAATTAGATTTCTTATTAATAATTTGATTGACAATATGATAGTCTTTTAATGGGTTGTTACAAAATTTAATTAATATTACTTCACATATTTTTTTCAAATTCATTTTTATATAATTGTATAAATTTATAATTTATATATGATATATTTATAAATTAATATAACTCTCTTTCTAAGTTATTTTTAATAATTTTTTATTAATTTATCTTTATAATTAACTTCCGATAAAAATGTATGATTGAATTTTAAACCTCAATTTCAATAAAATTTATTTAATTTATATCAAAATATTAAATTAATATTAAGTTCAACTTTTTAGATTTATACGATATATTATTTTTGAAATAAAGTTATTTATTTTAATCTTATTTTGATAGAGATTTGATATTCTTATTATGAGCTGTACAATTTCTACTTTCCAGCTTAAACCTAGATTTTCTAAATCTATTTAAATACATCAATTCTTATTAACTACCTTATTTTAATTACATTGATAACTAAAATTTGTCATTAAATATTTTTATCACATTCGAAGAAGCAATTGCTGTAAATTCAAACTTTCTTAACTAATTTACCTCTGTGAAAAAGAATATTGACTGTTCTTTAAGTCAAGATCAACATCAACATGAGCAAATGCTTCTATTAATATATCTCTACGTTCTTCTGGAAATTGAGAATCTGAAAAAGGAAAAAAATGATTCGTGTTCGATTCTATTTTTTAAATGATTGAAGATAGAGTTGTTATGAGAAATGTTATGGAGCATTAAAATGATCTATATGATTTATGATTTTATTTCGGCTTTAACATTTATAAAATTTTGTTAGCAACTTTTTAGTCTTAAGAAGAAGAATTTATAATTATATCGGCTATTAGACCTCTTATGGAACATATCTATAACCTTTTTAATTAATTAATTTTATAATCATATCAATAATTCCAAAATAAGATCAAGATATTATTTATACTTAATATTATATACATTTTCCTTTTTAAATTAAATAATTAGATATATTCTAGAGAATCTAACAACTATATTTTTTAGGCAAAAGGATTAATAGAAAAAAAAACATTAACTCAGATGATTTTGCAAAGGTTTAAGAATTATTAGTTCACTAATTAAATTTTTATTGCAAATAACAACAAAAATTTGCTTGTTGTTTCTATTAGTTAAGAAATTTATTGTAAAAAATTTAGTTGTATAATATAACCGATACTAGTTTAATTTAATGCCAGGAATTTTGTATTTAGCAGTAAACGTATAAATGTAATTCACTACCACAAGTTTTAAATAATTATTCTTTAACAGCATAATTAAAATAATTAGTACTCCTCTAGATATTTAATATCATTGCTATTAAAAGTATTGAATTTCAATTGAATCCTTTGAATAAACACAGAATCAGATTGGATCTTCATTTAATATATTTATGAAATGTTTTTATTCTTAGTATCCCATGTAGTTCATGAATATGACTTTTTTTGTTCTCTTTGGAATTTTTACTTCCAGTTATATTTTTATCATTCTAATTTTTGTCCTAGTTACAGAATATCTTGCTAAAATATTTATTTATGCCTCTCTATTTATTCTTATTTTATTTTACCTTATTAAATCTTATTACTTCAAAGTAATTTCCTTTATTTACATTATATACTTTATCTTCTCTTTTTGTTCATCTTTCTGTCATTCCACCACCCTGTTCTGTTGAAGTTTTCTTCTACTTCTGATTTATGTAATTCTGGCAGTTTATTTCAATTAATCTTTAAAGGTTTTCTGCTTCTAATATCCTTCTAATCTGTGTATTATCATTTTTATTAAAATGAAGATTTATGATCTTGGTTTTAAAAATATTGGACTTACCTTAAAAATATAAGGAATTGACAATTGAATGATACTTTTCATACTTGTAATTCCATTTTATAGTTATTATTTAATTAATAATTGTTAATATCTAAGATGATCAATCGCACCTTCTACAATATTGTTTAGAATTAATTAATAATGTTTTATTCACATAAATCAGCATAATAAAAAAAAAATAATCTTTATAAAATAAAACGAGTATATTTAAACGTTCTTGTACTATATTAATAAATACCTTACAAAAATAAAAACTATATAATTAGGATCTATCGATAATGCTTTATCTTTCTAATAGATAGAATCTTAATAATTATTAATCATTTAAAAAAATTACGCTATTAATATTAGACTATCTACATGTGCAAATGTTTCTTCCAAAACCCTAATATTCGTATTAATAATTCATTAAAGAAATTAAATATGAATGAACTACTATAAAAAAGTATTTGCATATTATTCATTTTTAAATTTAAGGATTAATCTGAAAATGTATGGTAGCTCCATAAAACATTGTTTTCTCAAAATAGGTTCTGATTTATATAATTAAATTCTTATCCTAGGAGGTTAAATCTTATTTCATAGAATATTGTTCAATAATTACCTTCCAAAAGATATTATCATTCAATTTATTTAATAATATTTGAAGTATTAAATATTTTTTTATAAGGTATATATAAACCTATAGATTTAAAATAATAATTTATTAATTCTTCATTAATTCTAATTATGCTAGAGTAATTTCTTATGGGTATTTTAAAAGAGTTTATTGCTATTTAAGTGAATTACAAATGTCCCAGTCTATGTTCGATTTAGAAGTAATCTATTTTATTATTTATTGATTCAGATAACTAAGTATTATATAATCATTTATTTTCTTATTGTAAATTTCACCAAATATTCATTCTTGTTAATTGGCTATTGAGTATTGCAAAATTAACTTCTATTGTAGTTACACCCATAGTGTAATCTCTTGTAACACTTATAAATGATCCAAAATAGTATGGTAAGTTACCGCTAAATTCTTTTTTGGTTAATGAGTATTTTGATTTTTAAAAGATTGATCTCTGCAATTTACAATCTCATCATAAAATTAGTAAGAACAATTATATTATTAAAAATTTATAATATTACAGTATAATCAAAATTCACAAAAACTACATATTAGAATATTTATTATTGTCAGTATTTTAAAAAGAATTATCCAAATTTTATTACAATAATTATTTTGTCATTTTACATTCATTCAACATTAAAATTTTTTAAAAACAGTTTAATATTTTCAATTATTTAATAATTCATAATCCAAAATTATTGGAAAATGTATATTGTGCATAATTTACAAAGTATATTTCCAAAAGTTTTTAAGAACTATTATTGGGTCAATTATTTACTAATTTATAATCCAAATTTATTAAAAATATGTAAATTGTCGTACATAATAATTAATTATTATAAC